AGTTCCCCAATAAGAACATTACATTAGAGCAGGATGAGGATGTTTTGGATACTTGGTTCTCTTCTGGTTTATGGCCATTTTCTACTTTGGGTTGGCCACATAAGACCAAGGACATGGAGATGTTTTATCCTGTCACCATTTTAGAGACTGGATGGGATATTTTGTTCTTCTGGGTTACAAGAATGATCTTGTTGGGTATTAAATTGACTGGAAAGGCTCCTTTCAAAGAAGTCTTTTGTCATTCCTTAGTTCGTGATGCTCAAGGACGTAAAATGTCTAAATCTCTAGGCAATGTTATCGATCCACTTGATGTCATAACTGGAATTCCTTTGCAAGGCTTGCACGATAAGTTGAAAACCGGTAACTTAGATCCTAAGGAATTAGTGAAAGCGACAGAAGGTCAAAAATTGTCTTATCCAAATGGTATTCCAGAGTGTGGAACTGATGCTTTAAGATTTGCTTTATGTGCATACTCTACTGGTGGTAGGGACATCAACTTAGATATTTTGAGAGTCGAGGGGTACCGTAAATTCTGTAACAAGATTTACCAAGCCACAAAATTTGCTTTGGGTAGATTAGGTGACGACTATGTCCCTCCTTCAACATCAGCAAAATCTGGAAATGAATCCTTAGTAGAAAAATGGGTGTTACACAAATTAACGCATGCTTCTAAGGAAGCAGCCGATTGTATTGATAATCGTGAATTTGGTGAATCAACCAACGCTATTTACAGGTTTTGGTTTGATCTTTGTGATGTTTACATAGAGAACTCGAAGACTTTAATTCAAGATGGTACCCCTGAACAGCAGAAGTCTGCAAAAGACACATTATATACCTGTATTGACTCAGCTTTGAAATTGATTCACCCATACATGCCATTCGTCACAGAGGAAATGTTCCAGAGACTTCCACGCAGATCAACAGAAACCGCAGAGACCATATCTAAGACAATGTATCCGCCGTATATCGAAGAGTTTGATGATCCTCAGGCTCATAGTGCTTATGAATTGGTGTTAGAAATCACAAAGGGTGCTAGGTCATTATTGTCGCAATACAATATTTTGAAAAATGGGCAAGTTTATGTTGAGGCTACTGATAAGGGTATATTTAACATCGCTAATCAGCAACAGGACTCAATCGTTTCCTTGATAAAAGGTGTCGAGAAAATTACGGTCGTTGATAACGCAAAGGATGTGCCATCAGGATGTGCATTACAAGTGATTACTCCTGAATGTACCGTTCATGTTTTGGTCAAGGGACATGTTGACTTAGAAGCAGAAATTGCCAAGGTCAACAAGAAGATGAGTAACGTTAAAGAACTTGAATCCAAAGCTAATGAGTCCATAAGTAAGTTCACCGAAAAGACCAACGAACAAGCTAAGGTTTCTACATTTAAGAAGCTCGAGAAATACAAGGCTGAGATTGAAGGTTACGAACAAACTATCTCCATTCTTGAGAACTTGAAACTTTAATGTAGAATCTTCTTTGTATCTAGAATTCTAGTGTATTTAGTTTAACTTAATTCAATTGTTAGAAGCTCCTCTGTATTTCACACCAGTATCTCGTACGTACGTACGTACGTACGTACTCCTCAATGCATCTACGTTTACTGATTTTTCGAACCGTGGCTACCTCTCTATCGCCTTGTCTATCAAATAATAGTAACATCGAACCTCATCTTGGACCTTGCAAGTGTGCCAATATTCAATCAGCTATTCACATGAAGACCTGCACATTGTATAGGGGAATATATAGGAATATTGATATCCTAGTTGGGAACACCATGTGCATGCTATTAAGGGCCACCCCTCACTAGAAATACTGAAACGAGCCACTACGATTCCTGTTATTCCCGCGGTGTTAATGCCACAGTACCCTTAGTATCCTCAGTAATCTTCGGTAAATTCGTGGATCTATAGTCTGGCAGCTGGTGCGGCTCAGCAATTTACCCATCCGGTGTTCGACATGCCCCGTCAATCTAGATTAGAATCTGTCTATTTCAGGTGACATTATCGAATCAATATACACTATTATTGTTTCTGTGTTGGGAGCGAATGCCCCATCGTGGCTGGTATTTGATAAGACGGGACCCATATAATATCAGTAGTTCTATAACCAATTCCAGTTCAACTATTCGGCGTCACTATAAATACCCGTTGGTAGCCTCTCTGGTAGGATATATGCCAGATATTGACTTCAGTATAGTAAAGAATAATCAATTGAAGTTACTTAGTTAATATTTAGTTAAAATGGGTTTAGACGATTTAGTGAACAAGGGAAAGAGTTACGTTACTGACAAGGACGGAAACGTCGACTACAAGCAGTACACTGACGAAGCTAAGGAAGCTTACGATGCCTACAACAAGAAGGAAGGTACTACCACCGAAAAGGCCAAGGCAGCCTACGAATCCTTTGGAAAGAAGGAGGATTCTAAGAAGTGATTTTAGTAGTCCAGATTAGATTTATAGCTTATTATATGAGACGATCATTAAATTTTTGATATAGCGAATTGAAGCTTATTCAATGAGTGTAGTGTTTAAAATATGATTCCAAAGTATTTCTATCAGCAAAGATTGGTATTTGTCAAAAAAAAAGACTAGATATTAGTAGATATTAGTATTTCTTCTGGTATCTGGTATCTGGTATTAGGCTGGGAATTGAGTGTTTTAGATCATTGTATCCTATCCGAGTAACCATCTAACTTATGATTCCATCATTTTTTTCGTAGATTCATACGTTGTTGTATAGTTATTCAAGTTCCTTTACACTTTGCAAGACATTGCTATTTGAATATTTTTGGTTATCTCGATATCGGACATCTTTCTTTTAATAATTAGTATTAAATTATTCACATTTACTGGCTTATAATCCCATGCCAGACAAGGCATATATTTTGAAGTTATATGATACCATTGACAATAGCATAAACTTGTATTTCGCCAGTCATACGGCGAATCCTCCTTTAGAGGTAATATTAGACTCTTGTACCAACTTGTTGAAAAAAAAAGTGACTGTTGATGACTTCCTTAAGCTAATGGCAGTAGATGAAAAAGCCTTTAATCTTACGAGACCAGGGAAGACTGGATCTATTCGCATATCTAAGGCTACGCTACAAAGAGGTCAATTCCTTGCAAGATTGGAACAGAGCAACTTGACTGCCGTGCCTGTTTTAGCAGAATTAGTGAAAGTTACATCTGGAAAGCTGACGAAACTACCCAAGACCAAAATTATAAAGAACGATAGCTCTAAGTTTAAGTTTAAACCTAAAGACGAACGATTGCAGCAAGCCAATCAAAAAGGGCTAACGCTTCTTGATAGAATTAAGTTGAAAGAGATGCTTAAGAGAGAAGCTCAAGACGAAGAAGAACCAGAGACAAAGCACAATAATTTTTTGAAGAGCAAATTAAGATCAGTTTACGACATCATATATCAGACTCATATTCAGCAGAAGCGAAAAGCGTATTCAATTACATCACTTAGCGAAACAATTGGTGATAGTCTATCAAATCCAATCAGCCAAGAAGATATTTTAGATATTTTGAGAATAATAGAAACCCGATTAACCAGTGTTTCTTTGGTGAAAATAAGCAGTGACTTTGTATTAAAAATCAGTAAGCTAGATAGAGAAAGTGATTTGCTTAAGTTAAACTAATGAAGCCATAAGTTTTTAAATAAAAATTCAGAGAAAATTGTCCAATAAATGCGACCTCTATTAGTCCCTAGCAGCTATATCGGCTGGAGCAGACCTCATGAAAAAGTATTTCAATACGTTTTCGACTAGCCAAGTTCCACCTAAATCTAATAAGATACAGCCCGTTAATTTGGTCTTGAATATCTTTGTCATCGGAACAAATTTCATTGCTTCATTTAACTCAGGCATAAATTCGGTGGAGCCTGCTAATGCCAAGGCTGCAACTCCTAATAACCCGTAGTACATACCTTTATTACTAGAAATTCTTTCCCTAAACGGTTCGCCTTGGTAGTTAACGGCAAATGTCGAGACTTGCTGCGCCAACTGCAACAAGAACATACCAGTGTTCAATAACGAAGGAGAAAATTCCTTCTCTAAGTCAATTTGTGGCTCTCTTGGTTCTAAAATATAGATTTCCCGGGTAATGTAAATTAATGTTACAATATGAATTGCAAATTGACCTAAAATGGATCCCATGATATAGATACTGAAAATACCATCTTGAGGTCTTTGCTTAGAGAGCTTCTCTAAGGGACGGCCACGGGAAATCGATAAGAAACAAGCAGATAATAAGATACCTGAAACAGTTGCCTGTCCATCACCAAATTTGATACCCGCTAAGAAAAGAACTGACAATGAGTATGCTGAAATTAAACAATTCAATGCCAAGATCTTATACATCTGCACAGTTGAAACTAAAGCACAACGACCTTGACGGATAATGTGAGTCACTGAAGAGACGTTTGTCAACTTGGAAGTAAAGGGTGCAGCGACAGAGGCATCACCTAATTTCAAGACTGGTACTTCATCTTCACTTTCAGCTTCGCCTAAGGCTCCCATGATTGAATCAGCAAGGCCCGATTGGTTTCCACCTTCAGTTTTGGTGAAAAGAACTTGGCTTCCGCTAGTTTCTGCAACTTCGACTGCAACTTTCATTTCCTTAGTGATAGTGACACCCTTCTTTTCCATTGCTTTCAAATAGTGAGGATTGCTACGTCCTGGTGGGTACAAGTGAGCGATAAGAGCTGGTACCGGTGGTGGTGGTTTACCCCAATTAACAAGAATTTGAGCTTGCTTTTCGTAGATTTTCTTCAGTGCTTCAATCTTCTTATTCTCGGCAATCTTCTTCATTCCTTCTTCAGTACCATTTAAAAGCGCAACTCCTATATGAGCTTGCTTCAAAGCACCGACATCATTAGTACCATCTCCACACATCAAAGTCCTGTAACCAGCGTTTTTCAAAGTAGCCAAAATAAATTCCTTTTGAGGAGGAGACACTCTGGCATAGACCCAAGTATGTTTAATCAAATCTAATATCTGGTAGTGTTCAGATAAGAAATTCAAAGCGTAACCAGTGATACAAATATCATGTTCCTTGAACAATTCGGTGTCAATCTTATCAGTGGACTTAAACGGGATGATCTTAGTATCATGAATATTTCTCCAGACTAAGTCCTCACCGTGAGATATGTCATGATGTTCTTCGGGAGCATCTAAAATTAAAACATCCTTCTCAGTAATTGCAACTTCAGATGCGACATGGCAAGCGGTCAATGGATTATCACCAGTGATCATGATACAGCGATGAGAAGACTCATTCAACATTTTAATGGTTTCAATAGCGTCATCTTTCAACGGACAATGAAAAATAATAAAACCAGCAAATTTCAAATCAGATTCAACGTCTTCCCTCTTGATCTTCGTCACATTGACATTTGTATCAATTGTCTTATAGGCAAGAGCCAAAACACGAGAACCTGATCTTGTGAAAGACTTATAGGTATCTTCATAACTATTTGGAGCATCAGTCAACATTGAACGGATCGTTTCAGGAGCACCTTTAACTGCTACAAAGTTCTTACCCTGCAAGGTGTTGATTGAGGTGATGGCAGATGATCTCTTCAATGACGAAGAGAATTGGAAACGACGCAATATTTTAATCTTTTCAGTTTTACCGTTAGCCTTAGTTCTCTGCACGGTGTCTTTAGCACCTACTTCCCAGTGTGCTGCCTTTAAGGTAGCCTGTTCCATTGAATCACCAACTATTTCACCATCATCCAACTTTACTAAGGCATGGGCAGATCCAAGGACGTAAGACGTAGTCTCTGGTGCATCTTCACAAGTGTACACATGGGTTGAGTCATCATCTTTGAATCCTGCTAAACCCTCAAACACTAAATCTTCAGCCGTCAATGTTCCTGTCTTATCAAAGCAACAGGCATCAATTCTTCCGGCCAAAGGGATTCTAAATGGCTCGGTGCAAAAGACGTGAAACTTAACCAAAGCACTCAAGGATGAGTTGACAGCCATAGTCAATTCCATAGGCAATTCTGGAGGCACAACAGAGGTTATCACAATGATACAATCCAATATTAATTTAGACTGAATCCTACCCATCCTAGTACCTTCTACCCACACATACCAAGAAGCAGCAATAGCGAAAATCAATAAAAAGAAAATGAAGAAAAAAGCTTCCTTATTATCGACAGATACTTTTTCACTGGAAAAGATCATAGTACGAACCAAAGAACCTTGAGAAGTTTCAAATCCAGTCTTAGTAACAACTGCCAAAGCTCCTTCATCTGGGGCCAAAGAAACAGTAGGATTTGTTGGCTTTGTTACTTGCATCACATTGGTACCACCGTGTAAAATCGAATTTTTATCAAAGCCCTCAGCTTGGACAATGTCATCTTTGGGTCTGAGTTTGATCGATTCTTTCAAGAGTGGAGTCGATTCTCCTGTAAGCATTGCTTCGTTAACAATAGCAGAGCCATCTACCAAAATTAGATCACAGGGAATAGCTAACTCTTCGTGAGTTCTTGTAATAGAGACAAGATCAGAAGGTAATAATTCATTCGTTTGTACCTGTTCCCATTTACCATTTCTATGAGCATAAATTGGATAAGGCTTGATACCCATAGTCTGAAATTCAGCCATAGTGTTTCTTCTTTGAAAGACGGTTGTCATTTCAAAAGAGACCAACATAAATAAGGAGAATAAGGAGTAGTACCATTGATCATCCATCAAGTACAAAGAAATACAGAAGACTTGAAAAACAAAGAAAGGTGCAACTGCATGTTCTTTGAAAAGCTCTAAAAACGTAGGAACTGGAATGTCAAAGATATTCTTGCCGTATTCTCTTTCAAGTTTTCCTAAATCACCGCTAAGACCCTTGCTGTATTGATATACAGACAACGGGGGAGGCTGATCAAACAAAAATTCAGGCGGTGAAAATTTCTGTAACTTTTCATTGAACAAGTGCTTACGCTTTTGAAACAGAAAACTGACTTGGCTCTTCCCATCCGGAAACTTCTCTCTTATGATTTTACAAATTTCACCGATACCAGAATTCGCTGCTGGCTCAACTTTGATATACGTAGCTTCTTCGACCTTGTTGGCACTGATGTAGTTAAACTTGGCATTGATATCAAGATTCCAATAAGGCATCAACCATACTAACATATTCAATGACACGATTGTCATAAGATACACAAATGTCCATTCTGGTCCCCTAATATACTCGTCGTATTGATTATAATAAATCTGAAAAAATATCGAGTACAAGATAACGAAAGGCCAAACATACGGCCGACTAAATATAGCCCTAGGATTTAGCAATACAGCATCCTTCACTGAAGGATTTTGAACTAGATCTGACATGTTCAATACTGACGCTCTGAACCAAATATATACTCTCTAAAGTATTTTATCTGATATATCGAAGAAAATCTTAAGTTTTTTTTTTCATAATTTCCGTAAATCGATCTCACGCCTATGTGGCAAAACGGCTCTCGGTCTAGTTTTACGATAAAAATCAGATAAAACAGAAGAATGTCTCTACAAGTAAAACAGTTTATGGAAATTAACCATTCTAAGCTCTATATCATTACATGATCTCGTCAAGTATGCGGTGACAGTTTTCTGGGTCTCCAATGGACATTTTTTGAGAAATTACAGCAGATTCCTTCTCAAAGTAGACGGCTTATATAACGTGTATGTTTTGGGTTTCTCTCACCACAGATCAAATATCAAAGGCTCCAATGGATGGTTTAATTCCAATGAAACCTTTTGGAAGTCACGAGAGCTGTTAGAGTCATGTTATTGACGTAGATTGTTTTTTCTGTTTTCAAAATTCCAAAAATAGGGAGAAAAAGGCTTGTAAATGGACAAATTTTTTATACAAACCAGAGAAAATATAGGTGTTTGCCAATTGATGGCGTTAAAAAAGTCCTTTTCCTAGGTAGCTTATGTAGATATCAAGCAAAGTATTCACATATGAGCATCCTTGCTCTGACAAACTTGACTATTCGGTGAAAGAAGTGAATGGAGCTTCAAGAGTACTTTTAGCTTTCGTGTGCCACTGAAACCGATATTCGTTCCTTGATACATGAGGAGAAAAAAAAAGGAGTTGAACAGTCAAACAGACTATTTTTGCTAAGATGGGAAGGCGATGCGATGTTCTTCTAAGGTTTCCATTTACTAATATCAATAGAATTATGCCCTATCCTTAGCAAAGTCCATGATAAATAAGTATTCAATTTTCTGAGTGGAATTATTATACTTTGCAGCACTGTTTCATGGTGTTTTTTGCAGCACTCTCTTACTGTAATTACTTATAAGGCTGATCTTCTACACGTTGTGACAGTAGAGTTTTATTAGTGTTTCCTCGTAAATAGCCTGATATTTCAAGACCAACAACCTTCTATCTCTCACATCATTTAAAAATGGAAGATCTTTCAAATCAAGTTGCAGATGATGTTACCGTGATTGTGCCAGACGGGTTAGAAGGACCGCGAGAGGTTACTGAATGGTTCACTGAAAAAGGTGTGGACGTGGCAAAACTGTTTTATTTCAAAACAAAAATAGAAGGGAGCGAGAATGAACTTAAGATCTCTAAAAGATTCCTTGGACAAGTTGAACAAGGTTTCAATGAAGTAGAACTTGGAAGTAGCCCACAAGTTAAGCGTCTTAGGACATCAACTATGGATATAAAAGAAAATGTTCAAAGAATCAACGGTCATCTTACACTATCTTCGGAGGGGCGTTATAGAGGAACAGCTCCTGTCGATTTGGGTAATGATGCATTAAATCATTTGATGGCATTGATTAATCAGCGGTTCGATAACATGGAGAGAGCAACAGCTGAGAAGTTCGATAACATGAATCAAGAAATCCGCTACTTAGTGAGGCAACAAAATAGTTCCTCAGCGAGAGCAGAGAACAAATTCAAGGGCCGTGGGGGAGAAATTGAGTCGCCGTCGGCTTACAAAGACATAGCTAACAAAGATAATAAGCTCCCTATTGATGAAGGTCTTGAAAGGTTGCACTCCATGGACCAAATAAATTCTATGACAGGGCCAACAGTCAATAATTATTTAAGATTTTATGATATCGCGACTAGTGGTCAAGTTCAAGAAAGAAAAAAGAGGTTATTGCAGTTCGTTGGTGTCAATGTTTCTACTGAAGTGAGAGAAACATTTGGATCAGGTATTTAGGTCCCTAACTTTATATCCTAGTTCAAATTATAGAAGAATTAATCTTTCGTATCTTTAATAGCTAAATATAAGCCTGTTAGTTTCTTTAATCTTCCCCTTAAGGTGCAAAGGTTACACTCATGAGAGCTTCTGGTGCCTAGATAGCCAGTCACTTTTGGTCTAGAGTGGTCTAGATAGGGTCTTTTCGTGGAGATTTCAAGAAATGGATATCTCAACAGCTCAAAATTATCTTCAAGTTTGTAATATCGCTTCCTATTTGTGAACATGAATTAAAGTGCATCAGTGATACCTCTGAAAGCAAAATTGCAGCCACCACAAGCATCAATTTTAAGGTTCCAGTGTATTCCCAATCGATAAATCACTGGCTTTAATGTTCGAAGAACTCCTAAGCTTTTTGACAATACAATCTATTTCAAAATGGCAGTAGTGAGAAAGCTCAAACTGGCGTTGCCTGAGTACATAGTGGAAAACCCGTTGAGAATCCAGATGATATGACCTTACAGGGCACTCTCTAAGAAATATTTAATTCCGTTAAAAATAGTAATAGCATCAATGCCAAATAGTAAAACAATACTTTTGTGTTATATTATATGCAGGCCATCTCCATCATACCCGAGTTTTAAGTGATTATCGAGAAAATCCATAAAGTCCGTTGCCATAAGGAACAAAACGTGCATTTTCCTTACTCCGACATATCTCCTGCAAAATACAAATAATATAAATTGTGACCTTAACCTCAGAAATTCATAACATGAACAGAAAGAATTATGTCTCAAACTGTCTTAGTCACTGGGGGAACCGGCTATGTTGGTAGCCATTGTATTTTGCAATTGCTTGAAAATGGATTTACAGTTCGCACGACAGTGCGCAACGAAGATAAAGGTGAGGCTTTAGTTAAAGCTCTTGACAAAATAGTGTCTAAGAGTGACAACAAGAGCCCGAATAAGCTTACTATCTTCAGGGCCAATTTAGATCTGGATGAAGGATGGAATGACGCAATTTCTGGTTGTACTTTTGTACTTCACGTTGCGTCACCCTTTTCGGATGTTGCTACTCTATCGAAGGAGATAGCGATCGAGACTGCAAAAAATGGTGCTTTAAGAGTTTTAAAGTTGGCCCACAAACATAAAGTTAAGCGTGTCGTTCTTACAAGTAGCGCAGGAACGGTAACATTTGGTCACAAGGAGCAAAAGCTACTAGATGATGACTCCTGGTCCGTTTCGGAAAATATTGACTCTATCTACATTCTCTCAAAAATTGCATCAGAAAAAGCTTGCTGGGACTTTATCTCTTCAGAGGAAAATAAGAGGTCACAGCCCGCCTTAGAATTAAGTGTTCTCAATCCAGCTTTTATTTTAGGACCCTGTATTCCAGGATACGGTGTTGCTTCTACATCTATCACCATAATTAAAGCAATTATTGATGGCACATTATCTAGAGGAGCCTTTAAAGTGTACTTTTCGACCGTCGACGTTAGAGATGTTGCCAAGATTCATATTCAGGCAATGACAAATTCAAAAGCAAAAGACAATCGCTTTCTTTTGTGCTCATATCTGAACGCTGTCTCTTTGATGAATATTGCAGATACATTCAGATTTAAAATACCCGCTGAATTTAATAAAAATATTCCTAACAGGGAGATTCCCTATTGGATTTTTTGGCTTTTGTCTGTTTTCTCTCCAAGATTGAGATTGTTGCTTGCTTCAACAACCAAGAGATTCATAACTTCAAAGAAAGCACAGCTGACGTTCAATTGGGAGCCCATCTCGACCGAAAAAAGCGTAATTGATACAAGTGAATATGTAGTTAGAACCTATGATATATAATATGATGTATGTTTTACTGAAACTTGTTTCGACGGAATGACAAGTCTAGTAAGCAATACTTTGCCATTTAAGCTTTTAAACAACAGACAATAATAGCAATCCTTGGCACGTGATTACACTCTTATCATTTGTAACACAAAAGTGATAGGATTGTAAGTAGTTATCTTGAACTGTTCTTCCAAGACTAATATGGGTATTGATGGCATCAATTTCTAATCCACACACTCGAAAGACTCGAAGGAGAGTATCAAAATCATGTTTCTTGTGTAGAAAGAGAAAGTTGAAATGTGATCGAAACCTACCTTGTCAAAATTGTTTTGAAAGTAAGAAGACTGAGCTTTGTATTTACGAGAGGCAATTGCTGAAAAACGATCATACCTTGAGTGCTTCTGAGGCAGAGACTCTTGCTTTGTCGGAGGAGTTGAAATCCAGCAAAGAGAAGATAAATAATTTGACAAGTTTGGTACAACTATTTTCCAAAGACACGTCAGAAAGGGCCAAAAGAATTGATGCTCAAGTAAATGATAATGACCTAAAGTTAGATCTTTATGAAAACTTTGATTTAATGACATACGAAAAAGGTGACTACGTTCGTATGGGACTGACATCAATGATGTCACTTATTTTAAATGATACATATTGGGGCACCTTATTTGTTGAATATTTAGGTTCACGGTTTCCACAAACTCGAGCTCCCGAATCTGATGATATAAAGAATAGTGACCAACTAAAAGAAATTAATATTGCTTCAGAAGTGGAAAGGGCCCGTAAAATATTTCCGAAGGTCTCGCTTGTTGTTCCTTTAGTGGATTGTTTTTTCAAGTACGGAGCTTCAAGTGCCTCAATTCTTGACAAAGATAGCTTTCTTCTAGAAATAGGAAAAATATTAAGTCCAGACGAAAGCATCAAGTTTAATCTTAAAAAGAGGAAACACTACGTACTTCTAGCAGAACTTCTCGTAATCTTAAGAAGTGCTTTTGTCTCATTGCCACAAACCAATGAGAAAGGCAGTCTTTCAATTGTAAATTTTCCAAATGGACAACAATTTGAAAGCTAGATATCCCATGTGATTTTTTTGATATTGCTTCCAAAATTATCAGGGGTTTAGAGGTTTCAGATCCATTGAGCTTGGAAGTGGCTCGAGCCAATTTGCTTCTTATCACTTACAAAAGATACTGCCCTGAAGGGTTTAATGAAGGATTTATTTTGATGAAACTAACCACTATTATCCAGGTAATGAGATATCGTGGTGCAGTCGCGGAGTGCAATAATTTTAAGGGTTTTAAGAATAGGTCAGAGATATTTTATTGGAAAAAATTTTGGATTACAGTGTTGTTTTTAAGCTCTTCTTTATGCTTCGATGCTGGGATGACTACTTTGGTTTCGAAGGAGGAGCTTGAAATTCTGCTTAACCTTGAAGGTGATCGATCAACTATCAATGAAGTATCTTCAATAAGATTACTCTCTTTGAAAATATATACAATAAAGGTAACGAATTCATTAATACAGATGTCACAGAAGCTGGAGGTGAAAGCTTCACTAAAGGCTGTCTACAACTTGATAGATGACTATAATTTTCTATTGCGGAGTATGAGGACTTTCGAGGAATTATTAGATGGATCTTATGATGTCAATGAACAGATAGAGGAGTTCAGACTCCGTGCTGATATATTAGTCAAGCTTTTTTTAACTCATTTTAAACTTTCATTGATTTTGAAAGATGAGGCTGACAAAGCCTTAAAGATAGAGCATGATATGCTGGCTTTTGTGCATGGCTTGACCATTCTTAAATTGGGATTAGAGCTATCGACTAGGACTGATGACTCTGTCTTACGGTGTTCTGTGGCATCGTCTATTCTCCATGCGTTGCTTAAAAGCATATTCATTATAGTGTCAATATATTTCAGAATCTATGATGGCATAATCTCTGGATTAGACTTGATGAATTTCATTCAGAAGTCAACGTGTTCTTCTTTGATCTTTTGGCTCGGAGTGAGTTCAGAGGTCATGAATGAGAATCAGATCATCACTTTGTTGAATGAAAAGTTATGGAGAATATACATAGAGTTGGGTAAAAAAGAATCTGATTACTATTGCAGAAAAACTCACTATATGATGAAAGTATATATTATTCCGTATATTGTTCGGAAATACGACTTTTCTATTTTTCAACAAGAAGAAATGACACTTAACCTACCTATCTCACCATTGAGTTTTGATTTTGTACAAGCTGACTTTCCACTTCTTTGGGACGATTACTTTGGAGGCTGAGTAATATGACATGGATATCTATGATGAGTTTACGTATTAATGCAAATGCTGTTTAAGGAATAATGTTGAATTATAAGGTCTATCAGTAATGTTTGTTTTTGTTGTAACCTAGAAGCATAAGCCACTAAAAAACACACTAGATACAAGAATAGTCTTTGTAAATATGTTTTTAATGCTATTTTTTATAATCTCTTATTTTAATTCGTAGAAAGTGACTTAATTATCAACTCGCTTTTTCTCGCCCACTAAATTACCTTAGATTGTTCTGAGTTATGATCGTACCAAATTTTTATGTGAGGAGTAAGCTAAGCTTTCGTCACCTTGCAATAAAGACATGTTATTCGATACATACGAGGCTTCTCCTTCAGTTTTAATAAAGAGCTGGTTGGTGGACTCTAATGTCTCGTTTTGATGATAGTTTTTTACAAATCAAAATCTAGTCCACTATATATGGTACTAACATACTTTGTAATATCAGTGAAAAAGGGAAGCAATTGACTAAATTATACATATAATTCTTGAGGTTTGTTGTAGCAGTTTTGGGTGCAATTTTACAATATGAATCCGCATTTTCACTTTATGAGACACCAAATGGAACCCATCACAAGATTTTACTGTTCTTCACTGCTTACTTCAAGAAAATAGAGGGGAATCTCTCAGACCCTGTGTCATGTTTGTCGTTCACATAAGTTTGTCTATCTCTCTGTCACCTCTATCTCTCTTTATGTCTTTTTCCTTAAGTTCCTCAAATATGCACACCTGTGGCTTTAGTCATACCTGATGATGAAGTTGTGAAATAATAAAATAAAAATGACAATTAGTCCCCGAGACTTTGTCACGATCTGTTGATTGTAAAATCGTTTAGTGTTTAGTGATGTCGTTTCAACAAATTCCTGTGATTGACTTGAACCGGGCTTTAGATCCAGCTACAAAGCCTCAGTTTTTAGAAGAGCTTAGGCATGCATTGATTGATGTTGGATTTTTGTTGTTGACTAATTACCAGATTTATGGTCCAGACGAGAAAGACTTTAAAGCCATTAAGGAACAAGCAGTTGAATTTTTTAATCTTCCTGATCATGTTAAGAGAGAATGTGAGATGATCAACTCTCCTCATTTCTTGGGGTATACTAAGTTGGCCAACGAGATCACCGCCAAACATACAGACTGGAGAGAACAAATCGACTTGGGAACTGAACTTCCACCCCCCAGGCCCGATGAACCTATCTATAAGAATATTGAAGGCCCAAATTTGTGGCCTGATGAGAACTATATACCTCAGTTTAAGAGTACTATCTTGAACTACCATGACAAAATGTTTGCTTTAAGCAAAGAATTTCGCAAGCTTGTGTGTGAATCAATTGGCTTACAACCAGATGCTTTGGATCGCTACTTTAAGCCTATTCAACAGTGTAAGATGAAATTAATTGCGTATCCTGATTCTTCGCAGCTAACAAACGAAAAGTCAGAACACAACGAAGATACCCCAAGCACGGGCCAAGGTTGTGGTCCGCATCGTGATTCTGATTTTTTGACTTATATCTATCAGGCTACTAATCATACTGATTCATTACAAGTACAAAACTTTCAAGGCAAGTGGATCACCGTCCCATATGTTGAAGATGCTTTGGTTGTCAATGCGGGACAGACTCTTGAAGCGTTAACGCAAGGTGTCTGTAAAGCAACAATCCACAGAGTCCTTGTGCCCAAAGCTGGTTCGGGTACTAGATTATCCATCCCATTTTTCCTGACAATAGATCTTGATTCCTACAAGACTGCGGTAGATATCCCACCTGAGATTTTGAAACTTAAAGAAGAAAGAGACAAGAAAATAAAGGATTGGGCCGTAGATGTTGGGTTTCAATTTACTCCAGATCCCTCAAAGAACCCAGTAGGATTTGCTGTATTCAGGAATAGAATAAAGTCACATCAAGATGTAGCTGCTAAATGGTATCCTAATATTTTGAAGGAAGTTTTGGCTGAATATTAGCGACCAGCTTACTACTTGCTTCTTTCTTTCTTATAACTGTGAGCAATTCATAGTATAGCTCCTCTGATTATATGTAGATTCAAAAGTTTATGATTCCTTACCAGGTGATATGATTGTAGATATAAAGCCGTGCGATCTCATCGAAAAACGAAATCTGTTGAATGAACGTTAGCAATTCAGGGACGCGATTAATGTATGGTATCTAATAGAGAGGATCACCTTAAAAGAGGCACACACGTAACAGCGTACGAAGCTTTGATCGCTGGGTCGATCTCAGGTGGTGTAGCCAGGTAAGTTCCCATTAAATGACGATTAAATAAGTGTGGTACTAACCGTAATAGAGCTGTGACTGCTCCGCTCGATACAATCAAGATAAGATTACAGCTACAGCCGAACACTTTTCGGAACAGAAATAGCGTAGTCAAGGTTTTGACTGATTTATTGAGACATGAGGGAATATCAGCACTTTGGAAGGGAAATGTACCAGCTGAAATAATGTATATCTTGTATGGGGCATGTCAGTTTACATCTTATTCAGTGCTTAACAATACATTAACTGAAATTGAAGAGTCTTATAAGCTAAATTTCCCTAAATCATTACACGCAATGACAGTAGGATTGGGTCTGGGGTTCTTTAGTACATTGACCACTTATCCGTTTGATTTACTAAGAACAAGGCTAGTTGCCAATTCTACAAAAGAATTTTTGTCGATGTCTCTTATCACGAAAGAAATATTTCATAAAGAAGGACTAGTTGGCTTTTTCGCTGGAATTCGTCCTGCTTTACTTTCAATACCTAGTTATACGGGTCTAATGTTTGTCACGTATGAGATTGCTAGAGATATAACTAGTGTTGTGACGATTCCGTTTGTTGAGGGCCTCTGTGGATTCATGGCTGGAGCTGTCGCTAAGGCATTGACTTTTCCTCTAGATACATTGAGAAAGAGGGGACAGATGTATTCAGTAACGGAGGACAATAAGAAAATATCGACACTGAAATTGTGCATCGACATTCTTAGAAAGGAAGGACTCTTCGGACTTTATAAGGGCTTCGGAGTGAGTATTTTGAAGACAGCTCCTACAAGCGCAATATCCCTTTATCTCTACGAATTATCGTTGGCAAGAATTCGCAATGTAGAGAAGAAATTAGATTAGCGGATATTTATAGACATCTAAGCTGCAAATAAATAGTCATCATCGTTATTGTCATTTTCTCCATTCTCCTCAATTAGATCATCGTAACTATCATTGACATTCAAGAAGTATGTATCGTCATCTCCCAAGTCGCGTAATATCTGTTCACCATCAGCTTCATTTGCATCCGCTCCGTATAGTTTAGTAACCAGGGTGGGCAGTATGTATTCTTTGTCCTCATCGCCTTCCTCAGACGTGCTTTTGTTGGTGCCTTCGATTTCATATCCTGACGTATTTGAACTGTGAGCATTGCTCCCTATATTTCCTGATTTAATGCTTTCAAGATCTTTATTATGAGCGTACAAAGATTGAGAAGTTGCAAGAAGATTTTGGAGCCTTGATCTATACACCAGGCTAGAATTGGGGCTCAATGGTTTGGTTTTTTCTTTTTCTTTTGGTCTGGTTACCTTCTGAGCTCTATTTGTCAATATTTCAGGGACGGTTGGAGTCTCTGGTGTGTCGCTTCCAGCTCTTTGTAATTGTTCTCTAATGTATGAGGGAAGATTTTCACCAACTAGTGAAGCCCTTCTGCTTTGCTTCATTAGAGGCAGTTCGCCATCTCGTTTCTGTTTTCTTGCTTCAAGTACATCATCTCTACTCCCACGCTCAAAAGGTCCATTATTGTTACTAAGAGGAAGTCTACTTTCCTGTCTTCTAGGTGCCACAATTATTTGAGGAATGGGCATCTTGGGCTGTTGTCTGTTCTTTTTAATGAGGCTCAACTTCAACTTCTTCAGCATATCTTTGAATATACTTCTTTTTGGTGACTCTAAATTCATCTTTGAGTTCGTAGGTTTTGGATTAGCCTCTGCTCTTGTAATTACATTAACGTTCGTAGTACTAATTAGAGCTGGTTTGCTGAAACTAGATTTTCTTGCTTGTAGGGCTCCTTTTCGAGATTCGCCATGTTCCGCCTTCATCTGCATCAAATCTAGAGACAATCTCCTTTGCTTAGGTCTCAATTCTATTACTTCGGGTTGAGCTCCTTCTTGTAGATGGGGCAGTGGTTCTGGTTTAGCTTCAATAACTGTTGGCTCCTGTGAGGCCCCCGGAGGACTTTCCTGCTCTTTAAAATTCTTTAGATCTAATCTTTCGATCATTAGATCAACCTCATGATATAAATGCCTATTCTTTACTGGCCATTGACTTAACAAATTTGATAACTTTGCATCTTTGTCTAGCACTAACAAATTAAACCTATAGTCATATATGCTATCCGCTTTGCACTTTAAAAAATCTATGTCATCAAAGTTCAATTGACTGGCAACACTTCGCCAATCTATATCTGAGAAGAAAGTAGCGGGTCCTGACTCTTTTGTATATCCCTCTACTAATTTCTCGAAGTTCCGTTGTATTTCATCATCCCAATAAACCTAAAAAAGATACTTGTTAGAAGATATTCAAAAGTCTGATTCAAAGCAACATACCCTTCGTGAGCTGTATAATTTATTACGGTCTTTGTCATTCTCTGCTATGACTAAGGACAGCATTTAGTGACAAATAAACAGTTTAGTGATAATTACTGCCTAACATTAAAGTTTGCGGAAAGATAAAGTTCAGTTAAACTTTAGAATACTCTTTCTTTAAGTATTTTCGATATAAAGACAACCTTCAGTAAGATGACTAGTAATGCTGAGTATCTCGCAGCTTAGCAGACTGACTATTGATAGACTAGAAGCTCAGACAACTTTAAATAGTTTTGGTTCAGTGGTGAAAGAGCTTATATTAAATGGAATAGACGCACTGGCAACGAAAGTTACAGTAAGATTAGATTTTCAATCATTAGGAATTTGGATAAAGGATAATGGAGTTGGGATCGGTTCTGAAGATCTACCTGATGTTGGACAAAGACATTTTACTTCGAAGCTGGGGTATCTTAGCGAAAACACCAGCATCAGAACTGCTGGATTTAAAGGTGAAGCATTGCATTCTTTACGCTCATTAGCAAGAGTCACTATTATATCAAAAACAGAAAAGAATTCGCCATTTGTTTTATCTAATGAGGGAGTTGAGCCGTTTGATACATTTCATTCAACCAAGGGAGCTTTTGATATTGGTGATCTTGGACGGAGTGGAACAGTTGTGGTGGCCACGAATTTGTTTCACTCGACTCCCGTGAGAAGAAAGCAAATCTTAAGAGTGCCAGATAGCAAGTTGCTTGATGAAGTTAGAGAATCGTTAGTTCAAACTTTGGTGAGGATGCCAGAGTTATCATTAAAAGTGTATATTGTTATGTCTGGAGGAGACCTTACTTTGTTTTGTAACCATGATGGATGCACGGGAAGCATATATGAGAAGTATGCTTCGATAATTAGAGATGTACATGGATTTTTAATACTTCCACGCTATGAATGTATCTCTGCTGACTACAACGATTATCAGTTGCATGGAGTAGTTGGTTATCTCCCTTCACAGTCATCTGCCTATCAGTATACATTCATTAATGAGAGATGTTCTGTACTACTTAATGAGCCAGTGTCAACAAGGCTTGAATTATATGGGTCGCCAAAAAAGAGACGTAACAGATTTCCAGTATTTTTGATGAATTTCACTTTTGCCATGCCTGATATCGATTTGATAAATAAACATGTAGGGAGTGATCATAAGAACGTCATTTCCAAAATGGTTTCTCAAGTTCTTTTCAAGTTTGAAGAATTGCTGCCAAAAAAGTCGAGCATGCAATATAAGAGGATTGGAGACGGTGAAACATCGCCAAGGAAGCTAAGAGTAAACCATTCGTTATCAAGATCCCTTATCGAGGAACCTCAAGTACGAAAAGTTGAGTCTTTGCAATTGGCAAAGGCTGATTTTAATAAATTTAGGGTAATAAGGCAAATTGATAAGAAGTTCATATTAATTGTGAGCGATGGTACCGTACTAGTTGCTGACCAACATGCTTGTGATGAAAGAATAAGAGTCGAGGAGCTATTTGAAGTCATAATCGACCAAATAAGAGACCCTTTCGTTGTGTTGGGGCGTAAAATTGAGCATACCATGGAATTACCATTGTCACCAAGAGAATCTTTACTGTTCGTCCAATTTCAGAAAAGTTTTGAACAATTTGGAATTTCGTTTTGGACAAAAGATAATATGTTGATAATTACCCACCTCCCATTTTTCTTGGCCAACGAAGATGCCAATTCCTTGAAAGCATCTTTGTTGGATTACCTATATGATCTTGAACAACTATCTAAACTGAAAACGTTACCTTTCGGGCATTGGTCTTCATTAATTATGCATTTGCCAAATTTTTTAACCCAACATATCAATTCTCGTGCATGCAGATTAGCTGTCAAGTTCGGAGATACTTTGAGTTACGAAGAGATGACTTACTTAATGTCACAATTAGCTAAATGTAAATTTCCTTTTCAATGTGCTCACGGACGACCATCCATTACGCCTTTGATCAACCTCAATTCTGAAATAAATATTCCTTGAATATTATAAAGTGCTCTTAGTATGCTTTATTGAATGCTTCTTGTATTTTCTTAGTATATAGATTGTGATGTAGCTCTTAGAATCTTAGCAGTTAGACTTTTCGTGATGTAGCTTTGATCACATGATTTACTTGATGATTTACTTTGTCAAACATTAAGTCAAAAAAAACATCAATAAGGTAGAATACAGAAGGCAAGGCTGAGATCCATATGTCTCATCTATCACAAGGTTTGAATTCGAATGATCGGACTTTGGTAGAAAATGAGCCCGTCAAGTTTTATAAGACGCCATTAAAGAAGTTATCCAATAGATCTAATCAGATAGGAAATTATATATTGGAGGAAACAAAGTATGAAAATGTTGAAGAGCCTAAAGAGGCGCCACCAGTGCTAGACATGAAAGAAATGTCTTTTAGACTTCATCAGACGAAGATAGCTCTCGAAAAACAAAAGTCACAAACACTAGAGGCTAATGGACCACGTCAATCAGAACCTATCTACTATAGACCTTCATCCTCCACCGTTAAAGACCTTCAGCAAGGGATAAAAAGGTTTTTACCACCAAATTTCAAGGCGTATTCGAATAGGCAAAAAAATAGGATTCCTTTGAAAAACATCCAACAAATGCTCGATCGTAACAAGATAGAATTTAATGAAGGAAATGAAGAAGCTGACGAAGCTGACGAGGCTGATTTAAATTCTATTTCCAATTATCCAGATAGCGATTGGATTAACCCTATTTTCAAAGAAGCCCTTCGTAGGCAAACTAGCAAGACTAAAGAATTCTATCGGTTAGCAAGTGTAATATTAATTTATTTGATATACAAGCTTATTCGTCCGATTCCCAAAGTATTAGCTTATATTTTTCATACTGAAGGGCGCCATATAGAGGACACAAATTGGATCATGATACCCTTTTGGATCTTTTTTTTCAAGACAATCTACAGATTATTAAAGGGAAGTGATCAGTGCTATGACTTACCATTGACTAATAGACAGAGGACATTGCTCGGACTCAAGCTCATGGAAACTAGTGATGACGATTTAGAAGCAGAAATTGAATTGAGACAAAGAAATTTTAAAGGAAAGATGCAAAAAGTACCTAAATACCCCACTGGTGTATCTAAGATTGGTGTTCCACATGATGCATTGATTCGAACTTCAGTTGATGTTTCAAACACCAAACCGAATGACAACCAAAAGATAAGTCCTCGAGCTGGATACCCGAGTGCTTCACTCCTAGAATTGGATAATATTGATTTACAAGATAAGTTTCGACGTGTATTTAACATGGAGTTCAACTATGACGAGGCGACTTCATAAATGGTTCTTGTATACTATTCTATAGCTACATCAATTGTATGAATCAGAAAGTGGAATGGGTCAGCTTTCGACTTTGTTTTGATTTCTATGTATATGTCATATCATGACTTCAAATGTAGCACGCTTTAGCATTTAAGTAGTCAATTAATGATTCTTTAAAGCTCTTTCTGAACATTAAACAATTGTATCTCGGTGCTTGGGTTCAATCAGTATATTGAATACAATGTCAATTGATAATTTGTTGGTAAATTGGATAATAATGGGGATGCCTTCTTTTTGCGGGGGTCGCATATGATAAGGTCCAAGAATAGTCGAAATTTTTGAAAAATAAATATAAGTTGGAACTATACTACCACCAACTAATCTTATTTCTATAGTGAGATCCTCGAGCTACATCTTGAGCTTTTAGCAGATTGTAGCTGTTTGGATTAGAAGTTTTTAATTGGTGCAAATTACTACTTTATACTTGATCGTCATACAGAGATACCACTTATTAAAAAAGACCAATAGAGTTCAATTTTAGATTAAATTCTCTCCGAAATGAAGAAAAAGATTCCTGACTTTGAGGAGGCTATTAGGGTGATCAAGATAGACGAGGAAAATTACATGGGGGCATACCCCCTCAGACTTCCTATGATAGGAGCGAGAGGTGTATATGGAGGGCATACGGTTGCTCAAACGCTCCTAGTTGCAATTGAATCGGCTCCAGAAGACTTTGTTCCTCATTCATTTCACGCTTATTTCGTTAAGGCTGGCTCTGGCAAGACACCTATGCACTACAAAGTTTTGAAGTTGCATGACGATGAAAGATTCGCTAAAAGATCGATTCAAGTTATACAAGAGGGCAAGGTAAGATTCAACTGTATAGCGTCTCTCGTCAAGAGTAACAATTCAAGTTCATTCGAAATACAACCTCCAATACCCAAGGCACAAATAAAATATCCTGACATGGACAAACTAACTGTAGTTCATCATACTGACTACATTAGGAACGCATACTCACCCGAATTTGAGGATTTTCGCTTGGTTCCTGAAGAAAATAGCCAAGAGCCAGCGGACAGATGGATAGTGGTCTTCAGTGGTCTTGATCAGCCGTCGCCTTTCAAGAATCCAAGTTCTCACTATGTCGGAATGGCTGATTTAACAGATTCTGCTTTTTTGACTACGATGGCTAGGGTGTTGCACCTTCCCTGGAACCCTACAGAAAATGGTCCAGTAGAATCATTTGATGAGGAGAAAGATGCTAGAAAGCTAATGGAAAGATCTCTTAATATTTTGCATCTCTTTCACTACAATGCCATGTCTTTAGATCATCACATCTACTTCCACGATAATGATCATGCCAATTTCGATATGACAAAGGATTGGCTTTGCTTTGCTTATCAGATGAGGAGACTCTCCAATAGTCGAACCCTAGTAAGGGGACATTTGTTCAATAAAGAAGGTAAATGTGTAGCCACGGTGGTTCAAGAAGGTCTCACGTATTTGTTTGAAGGTATTACTGATGCAAGACTTTAGTACACGCATTATCAATTTGTGACTATTCTTACCGCGATGCTCACTATCGGCATGACTATTTCTCGGTATACCTCCGCGCATTTCTCTATCGGTTTCGCTGTCCAGCCGCGCTTTGCTTAACATCTACCGAGAACTCCTACCGAGCTGTCAGCTAGAGCATATCTTTTCTTTTTTTTTTTTGTATCAGCGGATTTCTTGGGCCTCGGCTTACGTCTCACCTTTGGCTGATAAGTAATCGTATATAAATATAAGATAGAATAATGAGTTCTTGTTGTAAAAGGAAGTGAAAGATTCATGGATTCATAGATTAGACTATCCATTGCACTATAATCGATAAAGACTGATACTAGTATCTAGTAACAGCGTTACTATAGTGATATTTATATGAAAGATAATATAATTAGCACTTCAGCGAATAGATCTTCGATTTAAAGAATAGTGTCGAATACAAGTAAAGAATCTAAAATGTCGGTCGAGACTGTTAGTGTTGATCTGTCATGGTTGAAAGATGCGCTAGAAATAAAGAAGATAGGAGACTTAAGATACGAGGGACTTGTACCTTTACAGAAACCCAAAGCTAGCGCTAGAGGTGTTTATGGTGGTTTTCTCTGTGCCCAAGCTTTACTCGTAGCCATGGAAACCGTTCCTGAGGGATTCACGCCTCATTCTATGCATTCATACTTTGTTAAGGCCGGAGACGATACCTTGGTTTGTCAGTACGAGGTCGAAAGAATTAACGATGGTAAGAATTTTGCAAATAGGTTGGTAAGAGTGAGCCAAAAAGGCACTTTAAAGTACATGGTAATGATTTCTTTGACTCGCAAAAATTCAAGAGATGCCGCCGCTAAGGAACATGAAGCAGGTAATGGTGCACCTTATCCTCTCGATTTCCAAGGTCCTCCTTCAAAGGATTTCCATGAGCATAAACCAGAGAACCTAGTTGTCAGCCCTCACCTCAATGGAGCTTTACAGCATTTCATCCCACCAAGTTTCCATAATCCGGACCCTAATGAGTTGTCTAAGTCCCCTGCTGAAAGAGACTTATCTTTCTGGATAAGATTAAACGATTTACCGCAAAATACTAAGCTCAAGTATGCTGGATTCGGAGTCATATCGGATTCTTTCTTTTTAAATACATTGGGTCGAATTCTACACTTCCCAAATCCAGCTGAGGGACTTACTAGTGTGCAATACTTCTCAGTATCCCTAGATCATTCTATATATTTTCACGATGATTCTTTTGATCCAACCAAGTGGATGTTTTGCAGGTATAATTCTCCCAGATTTTCAAACAACAGAGTCCTTATGCAAGGAAGCTATTACACTGAAGAAGGAAAATTGGTAGCATCAATGGTTCAGGAGGGTTTGGTTTTCTTTCGTGATAATATACACCTCAAGGCAAAACTCTGAACCTTTCATATCAAATCATTTCATATAATCATAGCTTCAATTGCTTCTCCTAGCTTCATACTATTCATGATTTATTATTTATTATTAACTATCTGATATATATATGATCGAATACATTATTTATTACAATAGCTATACTCATATCTTCGTTGCCTCTAATATGTCCAATATGCCTATTCGATGATATCTGCGAAACTCTTATATGAGCTCTTATATGACCTCGGTTGTATTAACATAACTACATAGAAGCACAATTAAGAAATGATTGAAGCCCACTACGAGAGCAGATGAACTGTTGTTGCCAATACTGCCTTATTCTAGCATTTGGTTTGTTCTTATTCTCTTATTCGGCCCTTTTGTCCCTTTTGTCGTACCGAGGAAGCTCCACTAATGCTATTTAGTCGCACGATAGAACAGCTAAGTTTCTTGGGGCATAGTAGTCATATATGGCTCAAGCCTTCTCTGTAATATAACAATTCCCTCTCCTGACCTCATATCGTAGCTTCAAAGTCTGAAACAACGGCTCGTAGTTTATTTACATGACTTTTGAGTTCTAACAAAATCTCAATCATGAATTTGCATGTGGAGAGTGTTCCTTAAGAAAGTAACATCCTCTATTTATATCGACTCTATTTATTATACTGATCCGCTCCATTTGTCTTCAACTAACGGAATATACATAAATATTCGAAGAAGCTGAATACATTGCGTGGGGTTAGACTATCTAATTTGATTAGTACCCATTATTTTCATTGAAGAGTAAGCGAAATGACATATGATATTGAAAAAGCTTATGGTGTGACAGAGATAGGTGAACTAACGTATAAGGGCAATTCTGCATTATCAAAGCCTTCGCAAGCTTCTAGGGGCGTATATGGAGGTAGTATAGCTGCACAAGCTGTTTTGGTAGCCATCAAGTCATCTCCTGATGGGTTTAGACCCCATTCACTACATTCCAGTTTTGTTAAGCCCGTGAGTCCAAAAGAACCGATAATTTGGAAGGTTCAGATTATCAGCAATGGAAAGAACTTTTGCAACCGAACCATTACAGGGACTCAAGGTAATGAGATCAAGTACTACGCTAACGTTTCGTTGACTAGAAAGAATTCACTAAAAAGAGCCACTATGGAGTATGAGAACTACAAAGCGAAGCTAGAAAGGGGTGATGATGACGACGATGATGACGATGAAGGTGTAGTACAAAAGCCATTCGGTTTCCAAAGTCCATACCATAAATGGTTCACTCCTGACTCGGTTAATAAATTGAAGGAGATTCCGCTGGTATTTAATCAACTCAAAGTATACCATAAGTTTTCGCCAAAGTTTGTCGATTTAGATGCTACAAAAGAGGAGGAATCTATACCTCCAGCTGAAAGGAGTCTCTCTTTTTACACCAAGTTTGGTGAAGAAGGGGAAATTTCTTATGATGATGATGCATACAACTATGTTGGATTAGCTGTCTTGTCAGACACTGTTTTCCTCGCCAGTCTAGGAAGGGCTTTAAGACTACGTCACATTGATTTGCGTCATGGGATTCATTACTTCTCTGTTTCTCTTGATCACACCATTTACTTCCATGATGAGGATTTTGATCCAAGGAAATGGATGATGTTTTCGTTCAGATATCCGAGGTTATCTAACGATAGACTTTTAGTAGAAGGTGAGATGTATAACGATAAAGGGGTCCAGGTTGCTACGGTTATCCAAGAGGGATTAGTGAAGTTAAACGGACTTGAGCAAGGTGCAAAATTATAAGTTGCACAGACTTAACGTACACAATTATAAGATATCTATCGTTTAAACTTATCCCTTGTAATCCTACGGCTTCCTTAGCTGATATAAGACAATAAGTTAAAGGTTTTAGACGTATTTATTCCCTAGTTAGTATTATTGCAATTTATGTACCTAATATCGTCTGTATATCAACGGTCTCAAATTTAAATACAGTCAAATCTCTAATTACTTTTATTGATTATTTTAATAGAGTCATCAATTCGGAGAAGCCAGCCATATGCTATCATGGCTATTGATACCTCGAAGCTTGAGTCTTTTAATGACACGTCAGTAGGTAATCTTCTTGGTAGCTTAAGCAAGGTTTATTCAAATAACAACCTTCTTTTACTTGATAGATCGCTATCACCACTCGTCAATTTTTTGACGCCATTCCTGAAATTGAAAGAAGCAGGGAAGTTTGACAAGTTGACATGGATCGATGAAGCTCAGAATAATGAGTTGCTTCGTAGTTTCGGAGGGCTCATTTTGCTTATTGGGGAATCTAGTGAGAATTTAACATACATTAAAGAGCTAGCCTCGTCGGACTATAAACTAAATATTATTGTTAAAAATCTATCGAAGTCATTTGTTTTTCTGATCAACCAGCTATTGAAGGGCCTGCTCAGCTTCGAATATGTTTCGAGTAATGATTTTTCCCTGGTTGTGAAAGTGAAACCAGGTATTAAGTTGATGAAGTGGGAAAGCTATCCTATTTTTGTTGATGACATATTATCGGTTGAGCTTCCTTACGGTGGCCTTGAATCGTATTTCAATCAGCCTCTTGAGCAACTTTTCTATTTATCGGAAGCATTCATTAGAGTTATGAAGAATTCGAAGTCTTTTAGTGACAAATATATGAAGATCAAGAACATATATGGTAAAGGAAATCACTCTGATTTATTTATCAAATTAATCAACAATGAAAAAATTCCTGAGTTCTTAAATAAAGAATTGAACGACTTGGAAAAGCAGTTTTACCAAGAAGAGCTTAGAGGTAACACTGATCTAGTTGTTTTGGAACGGAACCTCGACTTTAGTTCTGTAGCATACAGTCAATTGAGCTATCAAGGACTAATTGATGACTTATTTGAAACTACATTTGATAGCACTTTAATAGGAGACAAGAAATTAAACCTTGATGATGATCTATATAAAGATCTTAAAGATCTAAATTTTGCCTCGGTGGGACCAAAGCTTAACAAAGCAGCAAGGTTTATCCAGAATGAATTTCGGCAAAAAGACAAGGTTAACGATTTAGACGAGATCAGAAAGCTTGTAAATAATCTTGGAAACTTAACAACTAAGCAGGACTTAATAAAAAAGCACACCCTAATTTCAGAATCTATATTGAACTTTATTAAATTTTCAAATGTTGATGGCTCTGAATCGTTGAATAAGCAATATGAATGTTTCTTGGAATTTGAAAATGAAATATTTGAAACTGATAATAGAAAACACTTGTCCACTTTGAAGTCGTTCTTCAATGAAGGCTTCGATGCAAAGATTGTAGTATCTGCCATAGTTTTGATCTCAATATTTGACAATGGTATCAAAGAAAGGGATATAGACTGGATCACGAATGATGGACTAGAAAACTACGGCTTGAAGTTTGTTGCAAGTCTAGAGAAATGCATCAAACTCAACTTGATAAGAGTTGTTGCTGATGGAGACTTCTTGAGCAGTTTCACGGGCCTAGGCACCAATGAAATCATAGAGTTGAATGAAGAAGCAGAAAACTTAGGAATAACGGGGGGACAAGACGCGTTGAAAAGTAACTATACGCTTATTGATAAATTTTGGAACCTCCACCCAACAGTCGAAGATGACGGTGTCGCAGGCGATTTGATAGATCAATACCCAGCACCTTCGTTTACATTGCCGTCTTCTTCGGTCCCCATATTGTGCCGTTTAGTGGAATCTTTGTATTTCAGAGACTTTTTGAAGTACAAGCCCGTGGTCAATACCACCAGAAGACCAACATGGGAGAAACTAGGCGTGGACCTGATGTTTCGAGGAAAGTCCCTGGACATCAATGTGTGTGACCGTCTGAAGCAAGAACCCAACGGTGTCTCTCATCAGCCACCTCAATTCGTCTCCGAGGAATTCATTGTCATAGTCATCATCGGAGGAATCACTCGTAGTGAAATATCTTGCTTCAAGTATCTACAACAACGACTCCAAAGAGCTGGTCAAAATAAAAAGATCATAGTATTAAGTTCTGGCATCGTGAATAACACCAAAATGTATAATTTGTTATATACTTAAAAGAATGCTCTATTCTCATCATGTTTTATGCCGACTCTTCAGCTACCTTCTGGGCCAGTAATTGCTTGTAGTATGCTTCTCTTCTAGCAACTAAAGGCTTATGTTCTAAGTACCAGTATGCTGAAGCTAAAGTAAACCCACATACAAATCCAAGGGTAATATCGGTTACAATTCTTCTCTGAAATCCTCCAACAATAGGTGCGATAGCCATGATGAATCTTCCTTAATAAAATTTGACAATTATTCAACTGTTTTAACTGAACTATTGGCTTGTCTAAAGATTATAATTAAAGGTTTTGATGATTTCTCACTACATTTATATCGACCAATTAAAACAGTACCGATTGGGGCACGAACTTTTTTGTGTCACTAAAAAATCATCAAATAATACTCAAGACTTTATTTATAAAGAGCTGATAGATTATATTAAATTCAAGTATAGACTAAAACATCATGATTAACACGGTTGGATTAAGGTTAAGTCAACAAAAGGCATTTCAAAGAGGGTTCCAAAGAAATTTTCAGAGCTCTTCTAGGGCATGTAACAATATTTTCGGTACTCCAAAGGAGGGACCATATTCTAACTTGCCATTTAAGGTTAAAGATAGAGTAATTCCATTTAAATTTGCCTACTGGGGTCTTGTTGGGGCATTCTTTGCGTTCCCATTCATGAGCACTTACTGGCACTTGAAAAAGGCTGGATCATTTGAGATGGCAGAGTAACTTGCTTAGGCATGCAATGTATATGAAAATATATGGATAATATATGAAATTCAACATAGAGGATGAATGAGGGTTGTAGTGAAGAGGATGAATTACAGAGTATGCTTTTAGAGTACTGGTGTGTGAAATGGAGAAGTAGTTATCTTTGTTTACACGTCGAATCGAACTTTTTTCACTGAGCGTGGTTTATCGTCTGCTGGTCTCTTGAGGCTTGATTTTGGTTCTTCTTCAAATGCTTCGGGGTCGTAGGAATCTTCTGCACTCTTGAGAACAGGCATGCTCACGTCAGTGGTTTCATTCTTTGGCAGACCGAGAACAGAGTCCATGAAATTGAAGGATCCAAAATCCATGCCCAAGCTGGCACTCAATGGCTCTTCGGTTGGCTCCGCTGGCAGCGATTCATACTCTGACTCTTTATTTATTTTTTGATTATCTGATCCTTCGATTGTTTCTACTCCAGAGGCTTGTACAATGGTTTTCCCCCAAGATTCTATTTCTTGTATTAGCAGTTTATCTTGGTGAATATCCTGATCCAAACCTTTGAAATATCGCTCATTAGGAGTTAAGTCTATCGTAATCTTCAAGTTCTTGGTCGGGGTAGGTTCCTGGTTAAAGTATTTGTCCATCAAGAGACGTTGCTGAAAGTTTTGGTTGTCCAATTCTTTCCTAATGCTTTGCAATTCTAAATGAAAATCTTGAACGTTGGCCTCAAACGACTTAGGATCTAGCATTATACTTTCGCTAATCTGATTGATAGTAATGATGTATTGGTTTTTCGCTATATTGTTATTCTTAATCGAAATCTTCGAAGCTTCATCTAGTGTGACAGTTGGCAGATTCTCCAACTTTTCATCATTATTCATAAGCATTATAATATACTGCAATAAGTAATTTCCTTCACGTAATAGAATATCTGGACTTATGACATTTGAGATGCTATGGTTTTTCAGGCTGATTCCAGTGGCCCTTATTATAAATTGTTCTATTTTCTGTACCACTTCTATTGGAAACAAATCTGACCCTGTGATTGTCTTTGCGTTGGTCCATGTTTTGAATAAGTTTATCAAATTTTGCCTAGTCGGAGTGTCTGTTACCACAAGGTAAGTTTCCGTGAATATATTATATAAATTGGAACCAAAGATGATATTATATGGGTTTCCAACATTTTTGCAAATGGAATCTAACAAGTAAAGAGCATTTAGCTTGTATTGAGGTAGACATTTCTTGATTCGATTTTCTATCAAATCACATATCACTTTCGCCTGATCTCCATTTCTCTCTGCGATGGTAGTTAACTCAGTTATTAAAGCTCGTGAATTTATGTTTAATGATGAAAGGAGGTGCTGATAATATTCTGGATTAAATTCTTCTTCGTCCATTCTTTTCCATCTTCTATTATAATTACTCAGCAACTACAGTATTGATAATAGAGAAAGCTTTACTCTTGCTGGCTTAGAGTTTGTTTCTTTTGTCTCGGTAAGAAGAAAATATCAAAAAATCATTTTCCATATTACAAAATGAGAAACGATTATATATAAAATTATTAGAATTTAATTCAGAGAAGATCTTTCGTACTCGACAAATTTGGCCTCGGTGTAATGAGTAGGTACTTAATCTTCATAGTATTGGTGTGATCATATGCTTTTTTTATAGTATATCACTATCAACTTAGCTCTTCAAAGTGGCATCGATGATTCAAAAGTACGAAATCCTAGCCCTCTAGAAGAGACCTGATTCAATTTTCTCATAAATGTGACGAATTCTTTGCGATAGGCTATAAGCTATAGAAATACTTAGTGATAGCTACTTTTATCCAAGACAACTCTACTGAGACTTGTATTTACAATTTAATTGAAAAAAAGCCTCGTACAGGCAAGAGAAGTGGCATTCACAAGGGAAACAGCAGTACCAGAGCTTCGTTACTCTAGAATGTGTTCACTTTCAGTTGCTTAACCTCCCGTAATAGTCATTTGATATAGTAAACTTTGAATGGTAGATAACGAACATTGAAGTGTATTCTGCGAGATGAATCAATTGGCTCTGGTAGAAAAGTATTTCGGATACCAGTGCTATATATTCCTCAAAATTAGAAACGTCTACAGCACAAGCTAATCCTAAGAAGGCCCATACTGTCATAAGACTACAAGATAACGATAATGAAGGTAACAAATTAAATTGAATAGAGCCGGCCAAGTCAAATCATATTGTTTAAGTCCTTGACATCAGCAATTCCTCTCATCCTCAACAAGTTCCGTATTCGCTATCACATCTCCATTGACCTCTCGTAGGCTTAAGTTGTTTAGTCCATCTGAAGAATCTCACCACAATCTCCGTTACCGGTCCGAACTTTTCAAAGTGTCAGCAGAATTTTTTTTTAATCGTAGTTAGTCATTTTTTTAAATATAATAGTAGATCAGATATCGTTAATTAGCTTTAAAGAACAGCCAAAGCGTATTCAGTTGATAATCGCAGTCTTGTGGAAACATATAAGGAGATACGATAATTATTGGTAAAATGTTTAGACAGGTTGGTTTTGCCAGTCGCTCTTTTTCAACGACATCCAGACAGTTTGCAAAGATTAAGGTTAAAAATCCAATTGTTGAATTAGATGGAGATGAGATGACCAGAATCATTTGGAAATTCATCAGGGAGAAATTGATTCGTCCTTATTTGGATGTAGATTTAAAATATTACGACTTGGGTATCTTGGCTAGAGACAAAACCAATGATAAGATCACAGTTGATGCAGCTAATGCTATCAAGAAATACGGTGTTGGTGTTAAGTGTGCAACAATCACTCCTGATGAGAGTAGAGTGAAGGAATTCGGTTTGAAAAAGATGTGGCTCTCTCCAAATGGGACAATTAGAAATATTTTGAACGGTACTGTCTTTAGAGAGTCGATCATCATTCCAAGAATCCCCCGTTTGATTCCAGGATGGAAAGAGCCAATTGTTATCGGAAGACACGCGCACGGTGATCAATATAAGGCTACTGATTTGGTCATTAGTGAGCCAGGTAAGTTAGAATTAGTCTTTACCCCTAAAGATGGATCTCAACAAAAATATACTGTTTATGACTATCCAGCAGCTGGTGTTGGCTTAGCCATGTACAATACAGATGAGTCGATTAAGGGATTTGCTCATGCTTCATTCAAGATTGCCTTGAGCAAGAAATTGCCTTTGTACATGTCTACCAAAAACACCATTTTGAAGAAGTACGATGGTAGGTTTAAGGATATCTTCCAAGAAATCTATGAAGCTGAGTATGCAAAGAAATTTGAAGAAGCTGGTATATGGTATGAGCATAGGCTCATTGATGACATGGTAGCACAGATGATTAAGTCCAAAGGTGGATTTGTTATGGCATTGAAGAACTACGATGGTGATGTTCAATCTGATATTGTTGCTCAAGGCTTCGGATCTCTTGGCTTAATGACTTCAGTCTTGGTTACTCCTGATGGTAACGCTTTTGAATCTGAAGCAGCTCATGGCACAGTTACTAGACACTTTAGACTCTATCAACAGGGTAAGGAGACTTCTACTAATTCTATTGCTTCCATTTTTGCTTGGACTAGAGGTATTGCTCAGAGAGGAAGGCTTGACGGCACTCAAGATGTTGTGGACTTTGCAAACACTTTAGAAAAGTGTACAATTGAAGTAGTTCAAAATGATGGCATCATGACCAAGGACTTAGCATTGGCTTGTGGTAAGACGGAAAGATCAGCTTATGTGACTACTATTGAGTTTTTAGATGCTGTCGCTGATAAATTAAAGAACCATTATTAATTTGGATTTTGTGCTAAAACATTTATACTGACTTAAACAGTTACAGGTTTTCTCCTAAGCTCATTAGAGCTGGACTCATTCTGAAGCTGTCTTACATATCATTGAATAGCAACAGAGGAAATGCTGATGATGTACGACCTTGACAACAACGTAATGTAGAACAACAATAACTTCCATCCGCTTTTATATGATCATTTTGTATTATTCTCGACGGTAGGATTCACTCATTAAGCTATGAGTGCCCTAGTACCTGGAAGTTCAGACTTTAAATTTAGATTTTTGTTTAAGCTCTTTTTCTAATTTTATTAGCCATTAATACATGTTTTTGGAACGAAAAGGAACATTAGTACTGTATCTCTTAATGAATGCTACAACTTTCGTCAAAAGAGAGCAAGACCGATGATAAAGGGATATTAATTTCAAATTAATTGTTAAAGTTAACTCTCACACTATCCTTTTGGCAACAATGGTGTCTTTCTCCTGTTTTTAGTACGTATTTTCCGTCGAACTGTGGAAGAATTGTTTCCTAGGGTCCAAATTAGTGCAAAAGAGAATAGACGTTTTATCACGTGAGGTCCTTATCTTACGATAAGCAAAACACAGAGCTAAAAACTCTAATCTTTGGGCTTATTCAACTAATTACAGTAATAAGTCCGAGACACATTCTGGTAACTGATATGCTAGAATAGTATCTCTTTATACAGTGATTCATGTCGAGTGTTGTTCCTCTCTTGTTAAACTTGGATTTATTTTTCCTTTAGAATGAAAACCTAATTGCAATTTTTTACAAGAAAAAAATGGTCTGCATGAGTTTTTTTATCTTCCTTCAGAGCAAGCTTCCATGGTAGTGTTAAGAAACCTTTAATTTACTCATATAATACTCATTGGCCGCCAGGGAACTGGTTTGGGATAAGATTCTAGTCTAACTAAATTACCCTGTTGAAAGAATTTCAAATTCGAAACTTTATTCTGTAGATATATCAGTATATGGTTGATGACTTATTCGCCGCTGAGGATCGAATACTTTTGGAAATATATCTCAGCTGCCTTAAATTGTAAAAGTTGAGTTTCACATTAACAGGTTATTTGCAATACGAATACTTCTCAGCTCTTTTTCTGTCACTTCGTCTATACTTACTATAAAATTTTTCATCAATCATAGTTTAGTGAGCTGTAAAGGGGCCGTAATAAAAACAGAAGCCTCGCAATCCTTGGGGCACCCCTTAAAGGCAACCCCAGCCTAATTTACATTCACATAGGGAACGGCTGAGAGCAGGAGATGCCTAAATTGTAAGTCGCGTGATTGAAATATAAAAAGTATATATGTGGAAGGGAATACACAAATAGATAAGCACTATTTTGCAATGCAAAAAATATGATAATTTGCTGTCCTATCGTTTTCAAGAACAAAGCTAAAATGGAAGATCTATCGTCACAAAGAGATAAAGATGTTATGTTGATAGCACCTTCAAATTCTGTCGAAGTTGATATCCCTATTTGTGAGATTGATCCAAAACAAGAGAATTTTGGTATTGACTCTACAAGTGTTGAAGAGGCAAGGGTTTATCTTTCGAAATTGAGAATTGCCAATGCTCCACTAAATGAGCAGAAACAAGGTGAAATCTATTTGAAAAAATTGGAAAGATAACTAGAAGAATATCAATGTGGAAGTACATTTAATCTTCAAGAATTGAGGAATTCAACAATTGAAATTGGAAACAAGCTTGAAAAAGTATGTCAATACCTTCATATTGATGAATCCCAGGTTTCATCGATAGACCTTGGGAACAATGCTTTAAATCAATTATATGCGTTGATAAGAAGTGATATAAGACGACTTGAAAATAGAATGGATAGAATGGATCGGAGGCTCGATAGAACGGATCGTCTCACAGATAGCCAGAGAGGGATGGTTAAAAATGGTTTGTTAGCTGCAGGTGGTAGTGAGGACTCTGGAAACTCATATAAGCCTATTTGCAATGATAACGGAGAGTATCCCGGAGAAACTAGCTACCTTCAAGAAATAATATCTCTTGACCAAATAAATTCAATGACTAGCAGTACTTTGGATTTGTATTTGAATTTTTATAACTTAGGAGACAGTCTATTAGTAGCAGAGAAGAAGGACAAACTTATCAGGTTTTTGGGAATCAATGAAAAAGTTATGCTGACTCAGAACACAAACCTTGGTACCAAACAGCTTGCACTCTTCAGGCTTACTTGAATGAGTTTTAGTAACTCCCTAAATAATAGAAGTATATCAATAAATGATATTGGCTATGACCCGCCCAAAAAGAAAAAAAATTTACATCTATCACTTATGTCTCAAAGTTGTGAGCTTACAGAAAGACTAATACCGACTTGAGATATTAAAAGCGATTTTACTTGCAAATTTCTATTT